AAAGCTTACTTAAAGGGAGGGGTAAGAGAGCTAAGAATGAGAGGCTTGTTTTATACAGTAGATGAAACTGAATGCAAAGCTAATCTAATAGAGACCAAGCTAGGTGTTCTTTTCTCTAACCATTTAGTGTATAGAATGAATCCTATGGTCCTAGAAGAGTAATGAAAAGGGCGGTAAACAAAAGAGTGACATCTTCAAAGTTATTTCACGGCCTTCTTTTACAGATTTATCTATGATGTAAGATGAGAAAAGCAGCAAAGATTGGAGGAAGTTTTGCTTCAAGACAGGCTTAAAAATATCTGAATATATTCTCTTATCATCACATGCAGAGCTGGCATTACACAATCTTTTCAAGATTTGGAGGCAGTTAAGCTGCTACTATGAAAAAGTGGCCACAACGTGGTTTTAAAGAACTATTTGCACATGCATTTACAAACACTTCACCTTTTCTGATAGCCTCCAACAGGACGCTGCGTGCATCGCTGATGGGTGGCAGATTGGCTGGATGGTGCCTCTTGGTCCCCACGTCGTGGACGGCGTGGGGGGGAGGGGAGGCCATGGCTCCTGCTGAAGGGAAGGCGGGCACAGGTGGTGGCCCTGATAGGCACGGTGATGAGCTCCGCGCTCCTGGGAGGGGCAGGGGAGGTGGTGGCGGTGGAGGAGGCAGGATGGTGCTGTCTGACTGAATACCAGAACCCGCGGATGGACCTTTGTCCAGGACCTGCTGGAAACGAGCTGGAGATGAGGAGTGGAGGGGAGGTGCCACGGGTGGAGGGGCTGGATGGAGAACACCCGGGGCTATCTGGAGGGGAGCGGGGGGAGGCGGGATGGCTGGGGGCTGCTGCTGGACTGGTAGAGGAGGAATAGGAGGAGGAGTGCCGCGCAAGCCTGTGGAGGGTAAGGGTGGAGGAGGAGGGGGCAGAGGGGGAGGCGGAGGAGGAGGAGTGTTGGAGTTGTGGCCTGCTGTCCGGGCTGGAGACTGGGGTCTGCTGTCGGAAAAGCCCGAGCTGGAGCTGGAGGGAAGAAGAAACACGAATGAGGTGGAGACGGTGGTGGTGCACTGCTGCGGCTCTTTAAGCCTTTAAGAGTATCTGAGAAAACGCTCACCAACAGGTAAAAAGGAGGCTGGACTTTGGTCACCATGTGCTTCGTGTGCAAAATTTGAGAGATAATTGAGGTAACTTCAACTTTTTCCACTTGGGAAGACTGTTATGTGCCATAAATTCTCTCAAAACACAACACCCACCAAAACAGCTTGTATATACATGTGCACTTCAGTTACTAGTTACTTTTTTTTAATTAATAGTTTGACTTAAAAAATATATGAAAACTGTATATAGCGATAGAGGTTATGAAATGTAAACATGCCAAAATATTATGGTTCCAGCTGTCTGCAACTTGTCTAGTTTTCCTTTGGTAATCTTGATAATTTAAAAGTGCATTGAACTAGTGTATGCAGACAAGATCAAGAGGATCTGGTGAAGTTCGATCTGAGCATTAGAATGGGGAAGAGAGGAGAGAGGATATCTGTTACGAGGAGAACAGTTTAACAAAAAACAAAACAAAACATTGAACTAGCAGCTTAGTCAAGCCTCAAAATTGACAAATATTTGCTCCACATTTTGCAGCACTGAGTGTGATCAGCAGAAGAGCACATTCCACGTGGCAGGAAGAGTCAAACACCAGGCTTTGCATTTTCCTAATTAAACTTTCTATGAAACTAATTTGACTCAGACTGCGAAAGAAGAACATAGCTGCTTATTTATATCCCTGACATCCACCTTTTTAGCCTCAGACCATCTGTAGCACATCATGCATAATAACCCCCCCCCCAAAAAAAACTCCAAAATTATCTCTATCATCTGTCTGAATTTTTAAATCTGTCACCGACAAATGCACGTGTGCCAAGTAAAACGGAAAGTCTGACTATTGTAACGACAGAAACTGCCTGTTCCCAAAAGGTGCATGTCAACAGCCAAGTTTGTTTCATTCTTATCTTTTCAATTAAAAATGTGCAGCAATGCGTCAGAAGCAGCTGCTGGGAGTGTGGAAGTAACCATAAATACAGCTGCTTTGTGAAACGGCAGAGTTGTCACAGGAGCATGGATAGAGTGACGAGGCCAAAGTATTTCCACTTCACTGTCAGTTCAATAAATTAGAGGTTAAAGATCACCGAGCAACCGGCTTATT